CATCTAATGGAATTCATACCCACTAATCATGCATGACTGTTTTATGCTATCAAATTATACAACTCATTTACATATACATCAACATATATTCATGTATATTATGTAACAGATATCATAACCCCTATCACACATATATCATATCATGCAATTCATATCACACATCATATACATATATCACATATATTGTTCTCATATCACCAACCTGTTTATCCTTACTAATTCCCTTGTCATTACTTCAATTCCGTCATATGAGCATATAATGAATATAAACATATTATATATATATTTTAATATGCCACAATACATTACTAATTTCTATAATCATATAATACATAAACGCATAGCATCTCATATCACCATGACATATATGCACTTCTACCATGTCACGAGAAATACACATATCATTATATCAAATTATGTTCTCTTTTCAAAGCCCATGTACACATGTGAGAACTATAGATATGTGAGTCTATAGAGGTTGTGCACTAAGCTGTCACCACAGCTCGTATAATTGCACCGTACTGCCATATAATAATGTTCATAAGGACCACATATCATTCCTTAAGAATCATATACATATACTAGGGATCAAGTATGTGTCTCACCAGACTTCACACATGTTCCAAAGAATACATATATATCCCGAATGACCACATATCATTCCTTAAGAATCATATACATATGCCAAGGATCAAGTATGCGTCTCACCAGACTTCACACATGTTCTAAAAAATACATATATATCCCGAAAGACCGCGTAGACCCTCGACTCTTGGCATGCCAACTATACCCCTAGCTCTCATGACACATAACATGGGCATTAATATTTATGTTAATATACATTCACATATACACATAGTTATGTAGTTCTTACACATAGCTCACTTACGCGTAGAACATTTCCATATAATCGCATAGTCATATAATATTTCATATAACATATATTTTCTCTTTCATATATCTCATATCATGTATCATATCTTGTGATCATATAATCATGTTACTTATAATCACATAACTTCTACTAATAGGGTTCAACATCATTAAACTTAGTTCACTTTTTCATATTATCATACATTTATATACTCTTATACGTCCTATCAATAACCTATAAACTTACTCATATTCTCATATATACTATTTTAATATAATTTGTATAGTAATATTCTATAATTGTATCATATAATGATTTTACTCAAGTACTCCTTTATAAAGTTTATATTACAGGTTCAATTAGTATCATTCTATCCTATAAATAATTTCCACTTATTTTATATCATTTTCCCTTTTTACTCACATAAACCATCTATTTATTTAGTTCAATTTCTTATGACTTCCACATTACTCTTTAATAAAACTTTGTAGCTCTTCACTTTAATACATAAACCATAGTTTCCTTTAATTTATCAATCTTCCCTATATAACTTATGTATCCTTATTTATGCCCTCGAATTTATACTATTCTCTTAGAGTCTCCTAACATTTCTCGTATAATCACTTATACCATATCATATGACTTATACTTGATTATCTTATTCTCTCATGTTCATTTCATTTCTTATGAATCTATCATATACTTATTCCATGTTCTTCCATTATTACATAATAAAGTTTTACATAAATCATATAGCGTATACAAAGCATATCATTATCTTTAGTCATGCATACATACAATCAATGTAATACATATAATCACATATAGTTATAACCAACACATAATCATGTCTATGACTTCATGCATATTACTCTAGGAAATAGACTCATCGCAAGTCTTATTTCCATTAAACACTACATGTCACTAGTATGCACTCACCTTGGCCTCAGTAGTCAATTCCAATCTCTTATTTTTCCCTTGATCGATCTTACTTGCCAAATGTTTCGGAATTGCTTTACGAGCAGAATCTACATAAATGTATATTTTGAGGCAATCATTAGATACCTACACCTTGTAATTGGATACTAGCAACTTAAACGAACTTATTAAACTCATATTCACAATTTTCCTTTAGGGGGAATCGGTTCCCCTATGAGATTCTGGAATTTCTGGTCCGTTTGAGGGGGTATCGATTCCCCTTGAATGGGTACCGATTCCCCTAGCCCAGAAATCATATTTTCAACACGAAATTTACTTCATTTCATCTTAAACACTTCATATTTCAACCTCTTTTATATACTAAACTCAAACACACATACTTAAGCCCATTTGTACTTATTTAACCCATCTTAATTCTCAAAATCCTCTCCTCGTAATGAAATTCAATAATTATACTCAAATTTCAACATGTTCTAAATTCCTTTCTATCACTCCAAATCTCTTATTTCAACTATTGACAAGTCAAATTCAACTTAAAATTCAACTTATCAACTTTATTTCAAGATTTCATTCAAAAACTCAAAATCTTTAATCTCTCATAATTCCACCATCCTTTGTTTTTAAGATGATTTGAGCTTTCCCTAAGCTTAATTATCATCCAATAATCATAACCAAATCCTAAATTCAGCTAAATATCAACTAACAAGAGATCTTACCTTTGCTTATGGCTTCACGGTGGAAAAGAAGAGAATGAAGAAGAGAAGTTTGGAACTCTCTCATTTTCCCACGTTTTATAATACTCAAAAAGGGAAGATAAAAACTTTCCCATGAAAAGACCATTTTGCCCCTTTAGTTCATCCATCTTTGCTATTTAATCCAATATTAAAATTCTTTACTTAAATCCCAAGACTTTTAATTTCATTTCTAAATTGAACACAAAACTTTCAAAATTTGCAATTTAGTCACTGACCCTGATTTGGGATGTTATTGTTTACGATGATAGTATGAAAGAAATTTGATTTAAATAATAGGGACTTATCTAATCCTTATGGATGATACGAATTAGTTTAAAACCAAATAACCTAAATTATACTTATGTATACATTAATGTTCTTTACAATATTATGCCTCGCTAAGTATATACTTAACGTGTGTTGAATTCACATGTAGGTAACAACAAAGACTAGTCGGGTACTGGGAGCAGTAGCAACTACCATCAATCTAAGGTTGACTCTCATCAGTAACAGTAGGACAATCAAGTTTATTTTGAAAAATTACTAGTATGTAATCAAAATTAAGAGAACATTGCTCTAAAATGTAATTAAAGTGATAACTCTAGTAATAGGTTTCAACGACTGTTTTATGGTTGTATTAAAATGTTTTTGGTTATATAAATTTCAAACAAAATTTTACGGGTTTTACAAATGGGTGAATGTTTTTAAAAGTCATGTGACACCTATGACTTGTATACGGAAACACATACGGGAAATTGGTGTTACAGTTATTACCAAGGATAACAAAATACTGATGTGGCATGTTACAACCACATTGATCACACTGTAATTTCATAAAAAAAAGAATTTATTTATTTTATAAGCCCCCTCTCTCCTTTTCCAACCTTTCCTTCTCATCTTTGTCCTTTATCCTCTTCCAAATGACCATTGCAACAATGAACTACAATTTGGGTGGGTGCTTTAAGGGTCTTTCTTTATCATCAATCTCTACCTCTTCATTTTTGAAAGGTGAAGAAATTATTCTGCAATATTAATGTTAAAGTTGTATGCTATGCAGCAGGTCAACAACATTAATTTTCATGAAGAATGTATATATTGTTTCCCTGGTCATAGGAAATGAAATTGCAACTTTAGAAAACTACAAACTTAGATTCAAGTAAAAAAATATACTTCAGGATCTGCATTCATCTTCGACAACTTGATTTTCGAAACATGGTGCCTTGAATTTATATTTGTCTATAATTTTACTCCAACAATGCCATCAATGCACTACAAAAAAACATGTTTTCAGTGGCGTTTTTAGTCCTATAAAACCGTCGCTAAAAACATTTTCGGCGCTAGGAAGAGTGTCGCAAGAAGCGTCGCTAAAACGAACGCCACAAAAGGTAGCGACACTTTTTATTCTCAAACGCCGCTAATTCTCTTTTCTTTAGTGGCTTTTTTTACCACAAACGCTGCTAATTCTCTTGTCTTTAGTGTCATTTTTGCCAAAAACCGTTAATTCTCTTGTCTTTAGTGGCTTTTTCGCCACAAACGTCGTTAATTCTCGTCTTTGGTGGCATTTTTCTGCCACAAACGCCGCTAATTCTATTGTTTTTAGTGACGTTATATAGGATTAAACCTTGGGTCTGATTATATTTTTTTACCACAAACGCCGCTAATTCTATTTTTTGCCACAAACGCCGCTATATATTTATGATTTGTAGTGGCATTTTTACCTATAAATTGTTGATCATCATTATCTTAATCCTTAAACTTTCATTAATGTTAATATAATATTATTTTACTGATAAGTTTAAACCTTGGGTCTGATGATATTATTTAAAGAGTTAGTAATGGCAACTGTTATTTTGCAGTAACCAAAAGCAATGGCCTAGACAGTATGAACAATGAGTAACTATTATAAATAATGAGTATTCCCAAAAGAGAGTAGCTTTTTTCCCTTTTCCAAACAATGTTTCAACTTTTTTCATCAAATGCTAAACTTACAGAAGAACCAACTCAATTCATTTCATTAAAAACAATAACAAGCGTCGGTGAAAATAGAAAATAAAACAAAAGAAGTTTTTAGCTTGAACCCAAAACGAAACAAATTAACAAAACCTTGTTGAATAATATAAAACAAAAGAAGTAGTAACTGCAAAAAGCATCCAAGTTCTCAGTCAACAATGCAGTTCATAGAGGTTTACCTGCTGTAGAAGACATAGACAAGAATACACCAACAAAACCCCTTCTGAAAGTTTATCTCCACATAACTGCAAAAAGCATGTAGCTGCATCCATCAAAAAATCATAGCTAATAATATGAGTAAAGGGGAAGCACAACACTGTAATACTAGCGAAAAAAAGAAAGTAATGGTGCATCAAAAATAGTACCTGTAAAATAAAAGGGGGAAATGTAAGCCCATGAAGAGATTGGGCTTGTTTGGAATTTATGGTATCTTCATCAGAACCAAATAAGCAAACCGCATTCTCCCCGTCATATCCATAGCCATCACCTTCTTGCTCTCTTCTAGTATGTCCACAAGGCCACTAAACCAGTAAATAAAAACAGAATCCCTGACTGTAAATCATTAGTGAAATCTAACTGCCCACGAAGAGTGGTGATCAACCGAGAAAGACTAATTTTCAGACATATTGAAAATTGAGTATAATTCAATCAAAATATAAGAGTAGAAAGAGATGCATCTGCACACAACACATCATACAATTTAAACATATTCAACAACCGGGATTGAATACTCTTATTGTAAACTTAAAGTGAAAACATGTCAAAAAAGAATATTATGTGGGTTAGATTGGTGTCACCAGATAATAATAGCATAATGGATACAAGATTGATTAATTAGATGCAAATTTTACAAAGTTAGAGAACCAACTAAACGAATTCATAATGAGTGCAAACCTTTCTTGCCCAAGCAACTCAAAAATCAACTTTAACAAGCATGCACCTCATGGGGCATTTTCATAAACAAATTAGAGTGTTGTTTTACTCGTCAATAACTTATTAAGGGATCAAAGTAAACAATTACGCAAGACTGATGCCTTGGAAATATCCTATTTCAAGCAAATGAAAAATTCCTGACAAACTACACGTTCGTAAGAACAAAAACATTTGGAGTGGAACAGAAACAAAGATGTCATAAATCAATAGAACTAGCAAGTTCGTAAGAACAAATCCACTAACCCCTTTCACCACGTTTCTAACTGGTTTGAGGTGCAATTTCTCCTCCTCCCCAATGGTAACCGACCATCCCATATTGGGAAAGAAATGGACATTGTTAATTATCACCAGAAATGCATATGGTTTTTCTCCAATATGAAACATATATTTTTAACGTACGAGATCGCCATATTAATATCTTTGTATTCATACATTGTATATAAACACGTGTTGATGGTAAAATATAAACATATCAAGAGCAACCTTCATTGAACACCCTTATAATTCCCTATCCAACACTACAGCTATATCTACATCAGAAACAGAGATCTCGCATTCATCCACAACTCCTGTTCAGATTGCAGATACTGATATAATCTAAGTATTAATTTTCTTTTTCTATCAGGAACATATAGCTATTCTCACACAGACTCAATGCTACATTCTTACAATTTTCGACAATTTTTTGAGGGAATAAACAATCAAAATGAAATGTTTAGATTATTCTCCCTATACATCAGAAATTACATAAATGGCTCCATAGATTCATAATTCAGCCACTTCATCATAAACGATTTTAAGAAAAAATCCACGCAGAAAACTGAAAACCCCAAATTTAAAAACAATTTATTATTCCCATTATAAAAAAACAAGCAAAACAGGAGGAAGAGCTTGAAAATAGAAAAACTTCATTGAGAATACCTTTTTCTTGGATAGAAAATGTGGGTTTCTTCTGAAAGTACACAAGTGATGAGAAGAAGGGGAGAAACTAAATTTAGGGTTTGCAGAAGAGTGAAAAGAAGAGCAATAGTAAGTTAAATTACATGCTATTAATCAACAAATTGAAAGTTCACTTGCATAGCTCGAAGTGTCAACCGATTCTCAAACAAGAAAGTCTCATCCATCATGAGAAACCTTAACAAAATCGAAGCATATAAGTTCAGGAACCAATCTAAATAGAAAATAAATGAAAAGGAAAAGAACAAAAAAATTGACCCTATGTGTTATGACAAACTTGAGAATTGGAGAAAAGGAAGATGTTGAAGACCGCGCTTTAGGAGAACCAGATTGAAGACCACCGCCTTCCAATAAAACCGCTCTATCTTCCTCCTTCACGACACCATTTCCGATTTCGACTAAATTCATATCGGAGTGTCTACTAACAGAAATACAAAGAAAAACAAATGAAATTTTCACCAATAAATTACATTAATTAATTGTGTAAAAAACATTACAAAATATGGAAATTCAGAGCTTACGCTTTAGACGCAACTGTATTTTTCTTGTATTGTAAATATTCCACGTAGATCCAAGCTAAAATCACCGGAAATATGCCGAGAAAAAACGAAACCTATAAAACAATTCAAACAACAACATTTCATAATTATTTAAGAAAAAAAGTTTAAAATGCAAGATACGATAGCTTAGGAGAATGCTGAGGAGAGTGGAAACGTACCTGTGTCGAAACGATTTTTGTAACCGGGGCGGGACTTTTGAAAACCGCGTTATTTTTAATTATTATCTTTTCAATTGGATTTTTAATTAAAAACAGTGTAATTTTAGAAAATCTCTTGTTTCGAAAAATTGGAAATTCTTTGACGATAAAAATATAAGGTTCGAGGAGTCGCCACCAATCTTTGATTAGGGTGTGATTGGGCACCCAAAAACATTGTCATTTTAAATAAAAATTAATTTTAATTAAAACGACAAATTTACGGTCTACGTTACCAAAATCCAAGTTCGGGAGTCGGTTACGCGTGGGGAAGGATTAGCACCCCCACAACGCCCTAAATCAGTACCTAGTTGATTAATTAATTTCTTTGCAACGAATTTCACAAGTTCAAATTTAATTTGATTAATGATCCCTTTAAACAACAAACATGCAAATTTGCAACATTCAAAGCAACAAAATAGATTTAATTTAAAATTACCAAGTCATTAGAAAGATAAAGAATATTCGATTATTTAAAAATATCGAGACCAGATCTTTAGTTCAGTTCTAACAACCTTTTCTCGAAAAGTTTAAATAGTCGAATATTTCCTTTTCTTTCGCTCCCAAATTTTACAATGATATATCCAAATTTAATTAGGCGTTACTGACGGGATACCATTTTAATTTAAAATCGTCAAAACAACTTTCCTGTAAGTTAAGAAAAGTCATTCTGATAATTTTAGATTAAAAGGACATTACCCTTAATTCCGATTATGTGATTAGATCGAGTTATGCACACGAGATTAACATGCTTTTTTTTAAAAAAAAACAACTAAACAAAAGTGTACTAACAACATACTCGGAATACTATACATGCATACATTTAAAATAAATATAAATTAAACTTACGAACATGGATAAAATATTAAACAAAGGGGCTAAAATGTAAAGAACACAAAAGACAGGCTCTTTTCATAACATTTTCATTTCTGGGCAGTCCAAACATGATACAACCAAAATACTACATAGGATCAAAATGCAAGTTTCTAAAACTATGCATCCAATGTAAAAACAACACAAAAATGGCCCCAACATGAATTTGGACTATCATGAAAAACGCTGAAAATCATGCAACAAAATCAAAAGATAATAAAGTTTAGTATAGGGACCAAATCGAAATGAAACAAGGTTGGGATGGCCACGCCAGACATTAACCCCTTTTCCTAAAATGCACAGTTTTCCCCTCAGCTATCAAAACGCTATCGTTTTGGACCTAAACGAAACGACGCCGTTCTGGCGTTCTGTTATATAGGTTATTAGGGTAAAATCTGAAACCCTAAATCACTTCAAATCCTCCGCCCCAACCAGGCAAACCCCGCCGTTCTCCCCTGGTGTTCTCTACTTCTGTTTCACAACCCTGAAAACCACCAAGGCTTCCACAGCCTCCACCGTTCAACGGCTCCGATGAGGAGCCACACAAACCTCGATGACTCTAAACAAACATCTACCTAAAACCTGACCCTAGCACGAGACTCAACCCCTCGAAACCCGTTGTTAAACCAGGCGAACCCGAGCCTTACCCCTCATTCATTTTTATGAAAACACGCAACCACCATGGGTTTCATCCCTCGAAGGCTCCGATGAGGAGACAAGGCCACAAAATAAAGCTCATTTTCTCCTTCTAAGGACCATATCCTTACAACCAAAACCCAAACCCCACCGAGACCCTAGAACCCGAGGCTTAAAATGACATGCATGACTCAAAATCAACGGGAGACAAAAGTTTTACCTTCTCACAGACGGGTATGGGTTTCTAGTGAAGAAAGCTACTAGATCGGGAGAGTAAGTTTCTTTTGCTTTTCCTTTTTTTTTTCCTGGCTGTTGACGAATGATCTGGGTATTTTTTCTTTTTGGTTGCGTTGATGGCTAAAATTGTTGGTTTCCCTTTTTGTTATTTTTAGTTTCGTATCTGATTCGTAATGGTCAACTCTCGGGTTCTCTCGTTGATGCGTGTTTACTTCTTTCCCTTCTTCAAATCCCCCTCCTTTCAGCCGTTTTCTCTCTGGTTATTTCTAGTAGATATTTTCTCTTTTTTTTTCTGTGCCTTCTGCTCTGCTTCTTGTTTGGTGCGTTTGCAGGTCACGGGCGCGAGCTGGTCACGGGGGTGGTCGATAGTTCTGGGAGTTCCTCCTGGTTGATCTGCACGATGGCTCGGTATTCACGGAGAGCTGTGAGCCGTTGGATTGTGAATTCAGATCCAACGGTGAGGGCTCAGCTGCACATGGAGATGGTGAAAGGAAACCCTAACGGGTCTAGGGTTTCCTCAAACGGGCCACAATTCTCGGGCTCCCACTTTGGTTCAGTTTCATTTATTGGGTCAACGGGCTCTTCATCAATTGGACTTGCTGTAATTGATTTTAACAATTTTGGCCTGTAAAATAAAATGATTACTTAGTGAATCCATGTACCATATTTATTTATGTATATATATATGATCACACGCATAACCACATAGATAAATAGACAATCACTATATAATTAAACACACCCATACAACTAATAAACTAATAATAGTATAAATAAATAAACATATGCAAAACTTGGTAATAATAACTAATTAGTAATATGAGAACCCCAGACAAAAACGGGTGTCCACAGCTGTCCCTCTTTGCTCATTCTTGTGTTAACAAGAATAGGGCAAAGATAAAGAAGACAACGCGTTTTTGTCTAATTTCGTCTTTGCTTTGAAACTTGATAAGGGATTTGCTCCACTCCTTCTCCAGGGTAGGTGAGACTTGAAAAACCTTCTGTCAACGGGTTCGTTCCCTCTTCCTTCAGGGAGTATAGAACTTGAACAATCATTTGCAAACGAGTTTGCTCCCTCTTTCTCTAGGGAGTATAGAACTCAAACATCTTCTTCTTACGGGTTCGTTCCCTCTTTATCTAGGGAGTATAGAACTCGAACATCTTCAAACGGGTTCGCTCCCTCTTTCTTTCAGGAAGTATAGAACTCGAACATCTTCAAAAGGGTTCGCTCCCTCTTTCTTTCAGGAAGTATAGAACTCGAACATCTTCAAACGGGTTCGCTCCCTCTTTCTTTCAGGAAGTATAGGACTCGAATAATCTTCTGCAAACAGGTTCGCTCCCTCTTTCTCTAGGGAGTATAGAACTCGAATATCTTCTTCTTACGGGTTCGTTCCCTCTTTATCTAGGGAGTATGGAACTCGAACATCTTCAAACGGGTTTGCTCCCTCTTTCTTCAGGGAGAATATAACTCAAATATCTTCTTCAAACGGGTTCGTTCCCTCTTTATCTAGGGAGTATGGAACTCAAACATCTTCTAACAGGTTCGCTCCCTCTTTCTTTAGGGAGTATAGAACTCGAAAATCTTCAAACGTGTCTGCTCCCTATTTCTTCAGAGAGTATAAGACCCACAATCTTCATCAATCACGTCTTCCCCCTATTTCTTCAGAGAGTATAAGACCCACAATCTTCATCAATCGCGTCTGCCCCCTATTTCTTCAGAGAGTATAAGACCCGAACAATCTTCAACAATCGTGTCCGCCCCCTATTTCTTCAGAGAGTATAAGACTCGAACAATCTTCAACGATCGCGTCTGCCCTCTATTTCTTCAGAGAGTATAAGACCCGAACAATCTTCAACAATCGTGTCCGCCCCCTATTTCCTCAGAGAGTATAAGACTTGAACAATCTTCAACGATCGCGTCCGCCCCCTATTTCTTCAGAGAGTATGAGACTTGAACAATCTTCAACGATCGTAGGGAACCTGTAGATATTTTAAATCATCATGCAATGCTATGCTCCTATTCATACCTACGATGTATGCAATTATGCAATTTAATGCACTTTCTTCAAAGAAACACCATCTCTCGACGGATCTTGGTTTTGTTTTGGGCACAGAACATTTGACTAGTTCACCCCATCTGATAATCTCAAAACCATAACTTTCGGCTTGACATGACTTTGACTCCTTTCTTTCTTGAAACCCACTAGTACCCATGACCAACTTCTTGATAAATGACAATTTCTTTGGGTCATCTATTAATGGCTGAGATTGTCTATGAATTCCAAAGTTTTAGCTTTTCGCAACCATACAAGCTTATGGGTAAAACCATTGCTAGCTTCAGAATACCTGCATTTCCAAAACCTTTTGCATAATAATAAAAAATGATCTCATGTACCACAAGTTAAGCTATGCATTTTAACTTTTTCAAAATTAGATGCTTGTAAAAGGGAAATTAAGAAGGGAAAATATTTCTTTATTTATATAAATGCGAAGAATTTTTAGGCAACTACATGACAAACTTTTAATCGGAAAAGAACCAAAGGATAGGTGTCTTCAAATATCAATAACACAAATGCTTTTGAACTGGCACGCCGTCAGAATGACTCGAGTGTAGCTTCTGTCAAAAGGATCTCCAAAATGGTGATGACACCTAAGAGTGCGAAACCCTTTCTGGACCCCAAAATCTCCCATTATTGGATGCCATAAACCAATATTGAATCTCACATGCATTCAATTCCTCCTCTGGTTGTCCCCATCGAGACTCATTGATCTTTGGTCTCAACCCCAATGGCCATTGTCGTTACCCATGTCAGGAGCTCTTCCTACTCCCCAAAAACAATTCAGATCCTCCACCATACACGAACTCTGAATTTAAAACTCAAATCGCCCTTTGCGGGTTTTCGACTCGACCTCCTTTGGTTTCAAGACGCCCTTTTCGAG